CGCTGCTGGATGAATTGGACACGGTGTTGCATGTTGCACTCTGAACGAAACACTTTGATCCTTTTTTTTACTCTTTCGGGTCTTTAGTGAGATCCCTTGTTGTGCATTTTATGTGGCAGCAGGTTTGCAATATGGTAATGAATGTTACAAAAACAGACACTTAACACTTTTACAAAAAAAGCATTTTTTTTGTTAGGAAGTGTTTTTATCTTGATTGAATGGAGTTACAACCTGAAAAAAAGGTGCACGCATACACAATTTGGCTTGTTTAACAAAGTGTATTTTCCTTTTGTAAAAGTCGGCAGAATGCAGGAAACAAAGTCTCTGAAATTACTTCTTTTTTTTTTTTTTTTCAGAGATCCTCCTTTGTTTTCGAAATGTTTGAGGTCTCAAGACTACCAGTTACGCCTGATCACGTTACACCACATCATACTGTATAAAGATCCTAATTTAAAAGAAGCAGGTAGAGGAAAACCTGCTACTGTGCACACACAAAGGATCTGTATACAATGCAGCAATGACAAAAAGATTTTGAGGAATATTGAAGGGAAGAATTGTTCCATTAGGAGAACACAGAGTAAATTCAGTGTAGATCCACAATTAATTAATGACCTTTATCCTGATTGTCCATCGCAATGAGCTCATACGTCTTTACTCTGCTGCCTTTCATCAATTACAATGATGGAGGGGAGGCGTCACACAGCCAGGGATAATATTGTAACAGCCTCCGCTTCATTTGCTCGAAGGAAAGGTGAAGAGGACAGCTTGGTTTGTTTTCCTTGTACTGTAAATGAATATAATATTGGTTAGTTTGACAGGAAAAAAAGTACAACTGTTATATTTCTCACTCAGACATTTGCAGAACAGGTTATATTAAGGTCAGTAAATTAAGATGTAATAGCATGAGATATTTCCTCTGCCTAACAAATTCAAATTGTAAAAAAAAATATGCTCTTCGACGTTTCCTTGAGGCCGTTTCCTTTTATTAATAGCTTTTATTATAGGCTTACTAATCACATGTCAAAAGGAGGAAAGCAGCAATTCATTCTTGACAATAGGGATTTTACGGCGGCCTCAGTGGTGGTGTGTTGGCTACAGTGAGCGACCCCACCACTTTCTCTCTTTGTCCTCTCTAGCCTCCCTCATCTTTCATTCACTGCTTCCACTCTTGTTCAAGCTAGGATGTCAAAACATTCAGGGACACTGTGCTACTGGAGTTATTAATCACATTTTAGCCGAAAAATGCAGAAACGGATAGTTTTGAACACAAGCCGAAAAATAATTTGGACTTTTTCTCCATGTTGAATGGGACCCAGGTGCTTTTTTTTCCTCCCTGCCTGAGCTAGTCTTAAAATGTTAATGCTTGATTACATTTTATCTTACTTGGCGTCCATTGCCGTTGGCTGGTGGGGACTCATCCATCTCCCCCAGCTTTAGCAGGCTATTAGTAACAATGCCCCAAAATAGTCATGTTTCACTTTCTCTCATTTGACAAATTGTCAACCCATCATTGTGCATTTCATCTTCATCACCCTCTGCATTAATCATTTGAAAATGAGCTTATTGAGAGTTGGGTTGAACACAAGTAATCACAGCAGAATTATTTATCTTTCATTTCCTGAAAAGACAATACTTTGTTAAATGAGCTGTTACAATTTTGTTAAGACGTTATTTTAACCATATTTGCTTAGTTGTGAAACTTTTCAGTAAAGAAAACCGATTGAATAAATGTTCTTAGGCAAAGGAAAAAAACTGTTTTTCCTTTATTAGGTACCATATAATTGCGGTGGAGGTATGCCATTAATGGTCGGCTAGCATGCCCATGGGAATAGACATTAGACAAAAGAGCTTGCCGGAAACACTGAGCGGACTACCCCGGTGTCTCTGTGGGCAGTCTAAAAATACTACTGTGCCTCTTTCAGATATTGAAGCCGGGCAGTGACACATAGTTGGCAGACCTTCGATCACTTTCTCCCAAACTCCCACCAGAGTTGATTTTCTTTTCATACGCTGTCACAAATGGAAATCTTCATATGGCGTGTGTGTGTTTTAAAGGGCTGACTTTCTCCTCAGCGTTTCAATATCCATAACAAGTTCGTCTGGTACCACTGTGTGATTTGCGGATAGACGCCCCCAGGATATGCATTCTTTGTTGAGAATAGTTTGCCTATTCTTTTGGAAGGATTTACGAAATGTGTTATTCTGCTCATGGGTCCATTTCACTCACAGCCTCGTCTCAAATTCATGGAGTAGTAGTATAGGGGAGAATCCTGAAGACAATGTCCTCTGTTTTCAATCTCCGTTCTAATATCCCGTCTCATCTCCTGCGTGTGTGTGCACCCACCGCATGGACGCCGATCAATCTCCAATTTTAGTTCGCCTCTTCTTTTCCGTGGGATCCTGTCGTCTTTGAGTTGCTCTCCACCCTGCTGGTGCGTTCACATTATACATGAAACTGTTCCACGAGGTGAAGAGGTTAGCTCGCTCACGTGATTATTCCTCATCTTAGGAGATAAGGAGGTAGCAGGGAGCATTTTTCATGGAAATGCTTTTGAACTCCGCAAAAAGGGTTCAAGGTACGCCCACTCAGGAAATTGTTTTACTCTGGCTTTATGATTACACGGTCGACGGCTGTGGGTGAGCAATTGTCCCTCATTAGAGGCTCATTTATGCAAATACTGAATTTCATAGAGTATTAAAAGCAAGGCTTTTTTTTAAAGCAGTTTAAAAACAGTAGGAGGAATGGGAGGTTGTCAGTGTGCTTGCTTTCTGAAGAGGTGTTAGAGTAAAAGTGATCTGTTTTGTGAAGCTGTGAGGAGACTTAGTCAGGCCTTTGATAGGAGCAACAGACACCATGTTGCCTTTGTTTTCTCTGTACACATGTCTAGGGTCTCTGGGTTCACCACAGTTATTCCAATCAGTGGTATTGTCTACAGTGTAATGCATAGGCACAGAAGGCTAACTTAGCATTATGCTCCTTGCAATCGTGATTTTGGGCTATACAAAAATACATTGAATTTAATTGAATATTCCATACCTACATAAGTACTTAAGCCTTTACTTTAGTTTGTGATTCCACCCCTGCAGTTTCAGTCCACATTGTGACAGATTGAGATCCAGACGAGTTGTGGAGGAATAGAGGCCGGCAGCAAGAGGTAGATGTTTTTCAGGGGCTCCTCTCTTGTTAGCGGCCACACGATTCCCCTCGCTCCCCAGGGAGTCGGCGTACGGGCGCGCGGTCGGGGGAGGAATGTGCTCCCGGGCTGGAAAAGGTTTGCAGTGCACAGAGAGGTCCTCCTCGCCTCCGGCTCTGCTGAGAAATGGGCCCGGCCCGAGCCGCAGAAACTCAATCCACCTCTCCTGGCCCCTTAGCTGGGTCCGATGACAGTGATCGAGACCTGCAGTGGATTAATGATTTGCCATAGATTGGGGAAGACTGCCCACGACTCGTTGGACTACGACGCAAATGTGTTAATTCAGTTGTGGTTGTTTCCCATTCAACCGCTCTGAGCAGTTGTCGCAGAGCGATTAAGAGGTTGCACTTGTCTCCAAAATGGCTTTTGAGATGTAATTGAACCATAATGCTTCTTATGTGAGCATCTTGTAGCGCAATGAAGATCTCACTTGACAAATGGGCCAGAGAAAACAAACCGGCATATCTGAGTCATGAAGTGGAGTTGGGCTCTTAATAAGCCTGGCTGGTGGAGAGCTGGAGCCTCCGTCAGTCTGACCAGAGACCCTGTAGAGAAACCAAATCATCTGTGTGCTGACAGCCAAGGCATTTCTATTATATCCCAGCTGATTATTTCTATGCCTCTTCCAACATCCCGAGGCCAGGTAGTATTTATTTCCCTTAGCTGCTTTTTAAGTTTTGTCTTTTTTCATTTTCCTCACATTTACGTTATTTTATACACGGATACAAATACTGATTGTCCTTCTTGTCTGTGACTCCCTCCCACCTTTTCTGCACCCGTCTCTCTTTGCCGTGAGGACACATTACAATCTGGCGCACTTGGCTTCTTATCACGTGTCATGTCCTTTTAATTACACCTCTGCGCTGCTATAGCCAATGACCTTGTCTCTGCAGGGGCTCATTCTGTTGCCCTCAAATCATCCCCCATGATCATGCCCCCCCCCCCGGTTTAACGGCCTGACGCCTCAGATCGTGGCGGAAAAGACGGGAATAACATTTAGGGACTCCTGTAGGGAGAAACGTGCCTTCTCTTTTGCCCCTTCCTTGACCCCTGTTGTCCGTCCCCCTCAGCCACTGACACGCACAGCTTGTGGCTGATGTAGCTGCATTAGGTTAGGTCACACAGGTTCATCCCTGACAGAGAGGAGGTCAAACTAGACCCTTACTTAGTGGCCATGCCTGCCAAGAAAGCCTGGTAGTACACATGTTTAAAATGTTTTCAACCACGAACGTAGAGCTCTGTTTTGCACCACTGCTGCTTCGTCCCCAGACAGACTCTGAGCTGCCATGTCGATTGTCACCACAGGTCACCTTCTCTCCAAGCTGCATTTTGCCAACATGGCGTTCCCCTTATTGCGTGTCAGTTTTTGTTTGGGGCTCAGGGTGTGGTGCTCTTGCTTAAGCCCCACAGATTCCGCAGCTGTAAGAGCTGTAACAGCCGCGGAGGCAAAGCTGCCCAGAGCTTGAAGCTCGCCTCTGATTTTCTGTTAGTCAACGCCACATGACCACACTCTGGGAGTAAAGCTGTGAGCAAATGCAAAGTTTCATTTCGCAGAAAATTGTATTTTGTGCTTAGTCCGCACTGGTGAAGAATAGCTATACATCCTCCTCGGGGAATCAGCAGTGCGTTGCCAGTGGAAATACTGTATACCATAAACACTGTATTCACACGTAGCATTTTATTGAATGTGGCAGGGCGGTGGTGGCCAGGCAGTGAAGCAGTGTGACAGTAATTGAATTGACATAAATTCAGCAAAGTATCCAAGATTCCTTTTCTAACCGTTTTCTTTTTTTATTCTCTTTCCAGCCGTGCAATCAAGACCAATCAGGATCTGCTTCCAGAGACCCCTTGGACAAATATCTTCTACGATGACTTTTGGGGTACCTTACTCACACACAGTGGCAGCCACAAGTCCTACAGGCCCCTCTGCACCCTCTCCTTCCGCCTCAACCATGCTGTGGGTGGGCTGGAGCCCTGGGGTTACCACCTGGTTAACGTGGCCCTCCACGGGGCCGTGACGGGCCTGTTTACCTCCCTGGCTCGCCTGCTGCTCGGAGGAGGCCTGTGGAGCCTGCTCGCTGGCCTGCTCTTCGCCTCTCACCCCATCCACACCGAGGCGGTGGCGGGCGTCGTGGGCCGGGCCGACGAAGGGGCCGCCCTGTTCTTCTTGCTGTCCCTGCTGTGCTACATGCGTCACTGCGAGCTGCGCGGCCACGCCGGGCCCTGGCGACTTGTGGCCTGGTTCCTGGGCAGCCTGGGCTGCGCTGCGTGCAGCATGCTGTGGAAGGAGCTCGGGGTGACCGTCCTGGCTGTGTCGGCGCTGTACGACGTCTGCGTTTTCCACAAGCTCAAGCTGCGACAGGTCATCATGCTCCTCTACAAGGTAAACAGTTTGCTCTCGCCCCCCCCGTGGTGCTGCTTTTTCCACTTCTATCATTTCCTGCAGCCGCTCCTCTGACTCGCAAGAATATGACAAACGGCATTGGAAAATTGTGTATATATAGGTGTGTGTGCGCCTGTGTGCGCACTATACAGTATGTGTTTGCTTTTCATCACAATATGATTTGAAAAACATTTGCAAGTGTATGCACAGCTGTCAGATTATTGTGTTTCACATCAAATGCAAGGAAACACATGTTGAGACAGGAAAGCGACCAGAACAGAGAGAACAAACAATAGGTAATAGGTCATCTGAGAGGAATCTCATTGATCATTATCATCATGAAAAATCATTATAGCAGTCGGTAGGAAGGAGTTCATTGCTTGAATTTAAAAACGCGTAATCTTAATCTATTCAGCCTCAGGACTAAATGCAAAACCCACATGTATATGTGTGTGTTTCTTTGCCTACATTTGCTCGTATATTCACATTACACACTGCAAAAGACAGCGAAAACCAGCTGAGATGGCAAAAAGTGATGGCCATTTTATATTTTCTTGTTGCTTTTGAAGCATTCAGCTATTAAGAAGCCTTTGTTTCCCCCAACAGCTCCTGTCACAAGTATTTACTGTTTGCTGTCTAGTCAATATGACATCCACACTCTCTACCCATCAAAACAAATTCAACAAGATGTGTGCACCAACGTGACAAAAGGGCTCCAGAGCAGCCAATGGCTATCCGGCACGCCCCAGCAAAGAACAACACTTTGAGAGATGTTGTGTGGCAAGGGGGTTGGGGGGTTGGAGGGGGGGGGGGGGGGGTCGGAGAGAATAGAGGCTAAAACCAAGAGGGACACACATGGAGAAGGAAACAAAGAGTAAATGGTTTAATTGAAGAGCAAATCCTGTCCGTCCCTTTCATTGCTCAGCATAGTGAGGAAATGAAGAGCGAGGTCTTCTCCACGCTGTCCTCTCTTGATTCAAGCCTCATCTGACTCCCTGTGTCCTCTGGAGCTAGGCCCATCCATTGCTGCAGGCAGACAGGCCTTTTAATGGCTTGTCAGGCAAGGCTAGACTAAAGAGGAAACAGGGCCAAAAGGGCCGAGGGAGATGATGCCTCATAGCTGACAGTTTTTCAACCTTTTGATTGAAATTCCACAAAGTTTGCTGATCCAAATGTTTTTTTTGGGGGGGGGGGGGAAACGGACTGGCAAGATAGTTATACTTCTGGCACGGGGCAAGCCGTACAGTTTCCTTTCATGGCTTGCCATCATGGTAAACTGAATTGGCAAGTTCAGTTTCAGTAAAATAAGTGAAGCAACTAGAAACTACATGAAAGCAAGATTCAAAAGTCTCAATGTTTCTTGAAGGAATGTTTTGCAGTTGCATGTGGAATGTTACTGGCAGGTTTGGTCAATAATAATAAGTAAAGTCTTTGTCCTAACTGTTTGTTCGATGACCGATTATAAGGCAGGAGCTGTGAGTATAGAGGGACAGACCGTTGACTGAGTAAACCGTTTAGATTCTTGTGAACTTGTAAGCTACGGCGAAAGATTTCGTCCCTCCAAAGTAATTTGTTAGATGAACAATATCAACGATTTAATTGTTAATGTGGATGCATTGCAAAAAAAAAAAAAAAGAAGTATGAAGGTGAACCTTCACAAAACCCCTGAATGTGTCAGTCTTACTTTAACAAAATGTTCAATTTAGCACAACATAGAAGGCTGCAGGTATGTTTCCAACACTGCAAACTGCAACCGTCCAATATCTATATTTGCACACTTAAATCTTAAAGAAAAAGGAAAAAGCCAATATCGTGTTCAACAAGTTTGAAGTGAAATTGGCCACACTCCCTGGTGTAATGACACATTCAAACTAACACACTAGATAGAGTCCAGGGAAAGAGGAAGAGGAGAACTCACAATGGGTTTCTGTACTTTGCAAAGACAAATATGGAACTGCATGGTTTGTCGGGCACTTTTGGAAACACTGCAAAACAGCTAACTGTTGTTGTCTCTGTGGAGAGAAGGCGGTAAAGCAGCTGGAAGAGAGACTGCCGTATATGGCACCATATTATACAATTGTCATTATCCTAGCGTGTCATTTACTCGCACCACAGACAACATAAAAGGCAGCACAAACTGTCATCATCACGTCAGTCATGTTTACTTGGGAGGTTTCTTGCTCTGTGATCATAGGTCCGTATGTATGAGTGGCGAGACCTTGATCTGTCATCGTCACGGTAAACAGTCCTCATCAGCAGCGTGCGCATTCGTCCCCCTTTTGTCCCCGTTGAGGGAGGCGGTCACTTTGACTGATGATAAGCAGAGGGAGTTATTCCTTCAGGGCGGTGTTGAGCCTTCGGCCGCCTGCATAAACAATTAGTTGTGTGCGGAGCTGATCACGGTGAAAATAAATGCAGTTCCCTCCCTTTAAGTTGGGATTTGAGATCCATCGGGTGCTGATAAACGTGGTCACCCGAACTGTCGTTTATGAATGGGAAAGCGGCATAAGAGGGAGACTCATGAAAGCCATGTCCAGCCTTTCCTTTGTTTGAGAACATAAAACCCATTGTTCAGCCGGACGAATGAGCCCGGCTTGTTGCATGACTTGACGGGCCACAGTGGGGGGCCCGGCGCTACGTTTTATCACCGAGCTCTCCACTCAGCCGCAGCCGTTTGACATTTAATGTTGGAAACGGTGAAATGGGGGCCTGCTTATCTGATCGTGGCGCAGAGTCAATTGCATTACAGTTTTATGTCTGCTGCAAATCTCCCGTTGTGCCATTACGGCTTCTGTGTGCGGGTTTGAAGGTTGTGTAGGGAGGTGAGAGTGGGAGCTTCACTGTAATTCCATGTCGGTTCATAACTCATTTTATCAAGACTTTTAAGTATATAGGCTCTCTGCATGCAAATCTGAGGGAAGAGGTAATGCATGGATATTATCTGGATTTATTGGTCATATGTTGCATAATGGATCTTGGAACAGGAGAAGCACTCGGTACAATTAATCATATGCAAAAATAAACCGAGGAAATAATAGCTTTTAAAGAGCAAAATCAAAGGTTACATGCTGTATTAGGTCAGAATATATTGCCACTGTGAATGGACTATAATTTGTTTGTGTACTGTGTGTGTGTCTCTCTACTTGCAGGCTTTTGTCTGTGTGATGCCGGCTCCAGAGCTGACATGGATCCAATTCTTCCATTCATCAAATTTAATAGTCTCCGGGTAATATAAAGTTCTGAAAAGGATTAGACAAATGCATGTCAACTTTAATTACACAATGCATTCAGCGTAACAGCTAATACAAGGTTAGGACTGCTTCTGCTCTTGTTCATGTTAGTGGTACAGGATCCGCTCTAGCTAGAACAATTAAAGTGCGGCGGCGAGAGGGAAACAATAGTGCCTGGACAGTAATTGAATAAGCACACGTTGGGTTTACGGGTGGCGCTGAAGTCGAAGCTCTTGGCATCCTCTGACATCTCTGGGGAAAGCTTTTATTAAGAGATCTGGTGCAACCTTTGCATGCACGAATAACCTTTCTAAGAAAAACATAGTGCCCTCTAGATGAATCCATGTCACCCATCTGCACTTTTAGATGATGTTTTTATGAATATATATACACACAAAACACCTGGTTCTTACAGAACCTGCCTGCACTAGCTTGCAACTTAACTCTGTATGACCTATAATCTCCTATATACCTTTCAACAGTCATTACCCGCTTCCTTTTTCCTTCCTCCAGTCATTAGCCTGAGCCCACCAGCACATATAGTGCTGATAACCAGTGTAAGTCTACAGCTACAGCCACTTATTTCTAAGACATGTGCTGTCTTCAAATGTGGGGAAAAAAGCATCATTAAATTGTTTACTGGGTTCTTATGCATCGAGCGACTCCCAAGCAATGAGTTTACGGCGCACAAATGTGACATAGTTGGCGATCGTGAGGGTGCGGTGTTACCACGATTAATGTGGAAAAACATGCTTTTTACGAGACCGTTTCCTGCACAGTAATAGCCTCATTTTCATTAAGAGATACTGAAACACAATTAGAGCTCCTAACTTTGTATAGGAAGGAATGCTTTTTAATAAGAACTCGCAGTCCTGAGGACTGAGCTGTTCTTTCTTTGTTAGTTTCCCATTCAAATAAATGTTTGGACAGTTGAAGACAGTTTACTTTGCCTGAACACAGACTCTAGCAAAAACAAGACCAACGTTAACATTTTCACTCCATCTTGACTCCTTTTCTTTTATTGAGTCATGAGCATTCATTCTTCTTCTGTTTCACAGTGCTGCCCACATAATGCTACTCTCCGTGTCCATATTTTCACCCAGAGAGAGAAAATGTCAGTGAGTTCCTTTCACACTGCAGAGACAATGCTGTGAACATGCAGGAGCCGTATGACACGCAGTCCCCAACGGGGCTGACACTTCTTACATGACGATGACGAGTACAACCCTTTGGAAACACAATGCAGAAATCTGATGCTTTGAAAAGTGTAAACTGGACACAGAGGAATAATATCTCGGTGATGTAACTTCAAGGCTGTACATCAATCAGTACACAGGGGCTCAGATGTGTCTTCAGAGAAGCTCGAGGTGTTCCTCTGTGATCGCTCTTTGTTCACGTCCGGTGACTCTGCCGCTGGAAAATGATTTCCAAAATCTGGGACAGGACCCAGCTGGCCCTTGGTGAATGTCAAGCTTACACAGTTTATCTTTTCACACCTCCCATTTTCTGTTCACACTTTGGCTATTAGTGCAAGGTCACTGCTTTTGACGTGTGTGGTTGTGTGTGTGTGTGTGTGTGTCTGTGTGTGTCTGTGTTATGTGTCTGGAGGGTGAGAGAGCTCAGGTGTCGTGGAGCTGGTGAGGCCGGCGAGTTCTGAACTCAGGGAGGGAAGATGTGAGAAGTGAGTTCCCTCAGAACATATGTATGTGTGCCAGGTTACACTCCAAGGTGTGGGTGTGTGTGCGAGTGTGTGTGTGTGTGTGTGTGTGT